AAGTCGACCCGAGTGCCAGTCCAAACAACTTTACTGTCCCAGCTCGAACTTTGAAAGACTGGATCGAGCACTTTTCTGTCTCGAGTGGCACTGCAACCATCACCACATCATCCGGTGGCGGGTCTGGAGGTTCTTTGATCAAGTACGAAAACGAGCTCGGGTGGTACTTTGCGCAGAATGAAATCAAGGTGAAGACGCTAGAAGCAAATCGACCACCAGCGATGCGACAGTATTTATCGACAGAGATCAAGATCGCGCCCGATGAATTCGACGAGTATCATGTGGACGATGGACCAGTGCAGTTGGCTTTTCCTTTACGTGAATTCAGGGTAAGTGTTGCATCCTGCTTGACCTGGTTTCTTGTTGGCTTATCTCGTGTTCACCGCGACGAGCCGATCTAGGCTTCTTTCCATTTGGCTGAACAATGGGGCATACCAATAGATGTCAAGTTCGGTAAAGCCTTGGATCCCCTAGTGGTGAATATCGACGTGGGAGGCGTTCGTGGTGAATTCATCATGGCTACGATTGAGAGTGACGCCTTTCCAGCGGATTCTCTCAACGGCAAACAGCCAGGAAAGGTGAAAGCCGAGCTCAAGGCCGGCAGTGTCAACCAACGGAAACAGCAAGCGAAACTCAAACCGACAGGTGATGCAGTCAACCAGACCAATGGAAACAGAAACGGGACTACAAGCAACAAGAGGAAACGTACATCGTTAGCCCTTGTAGAGGGACAACCTCCGGGTGCTATCCCAAGACAGCAACAAACCGATCAGCCAGACGCATCGGTCGATCCGGGGGCAGATCAGGAGGCAGAACATGCTGGACCTTCACATCATGACAGTCAACACATGAACTTGGAGCAAGAATTCGACTTCGATCCCGACTTTCAACCAAACGGTACACTACACCCAGCCGAAGGAGTCCTCCCGAATAACGATGCCGCTTCACGCTCGGTATCGAAGGGACGGTCCTTGTTCTTCTCGACGCAAGAAGACGATGATGATGCTGATAAGACGGCAGAGAGACAGGCTCTGATGCAGCAAAGTCAGGCAGAAGTTGATGCTTTAGATCCAGAGGCGTTGCGACAGATGATGGATGACGACCCGGATGTTACTATGGAGGCAGGCGAGGAAAGTTATCTAGGGCCCACGCAGCCGGGCATAGAGCATGAATCTAGACAGGGAAGTGGCAATCGAAGATCGGTAAGTGCACTTGTCTCTTGTCACGATATATCTGCGCTGACAGAATTCATCGAGACTTCTAGTATCACGCTCTCTTCGATGACTGATTCGGAAGGAGGCTCAGGACAAACAGGCAGTACATCGCCGGCTTCAATTCGGGATCTCACAGATACATTGGTCGCCATGAACATACGCTACCTTACACATGAACTGAATCGTCATTATTGTAATTTTGCTCAATGCTCTATAGAATGGGAAAAGGTCCGTCGGAACAAGTAAAATACATGACGATGATGTACAATGATAGAAAGCCCTTCGTGGTCTGACGACTGAACGAATTCGCTACTGCACTTTATTGATCTCCTTTCGGACGATGATCATGCTGTAATCTCCCTAAACCCCTTGGCGATACTGGACTGTCCATTATTCAGAATCTCCTCTGCGCTTTCTGGTATCGTCGATGAGAGAGGAGGTGCCGGCCGGGAGTTTGACACGGTCGGCCGACGTGTCGCGGTTTCTATTGAAGGCCGTCTTCTGGACATGTGGCCGGATGCTGCTGATTCTTGGTTTGGAGTAGGTATTGATGAGAAAGGCGGCGATGACGTCTGTGAGGGAGGTGGAGACGGAAGTGCCTGAGACGTTGTTGGATACGGACCCACGTACAGTGGCACAGGTGTTCGCGATTTTATGTCGCCTGTCAAATGCTTGTTCGTGTTTCCTGCCTGAACTGGATGATACGGTGGCGGCAGCTTGAAATGGGATTCGATAGCTGATGTGCTGGAAAGTGTGCCATTGCCGTTGATATCGACGTACTCGGGCCTCGGGGATGAATGAACGCCCTTTTCGTTGAAAAAGTCGGGGGTCGAGGCACCGCTTCGATCCTCGAGCAGACGTTGATCAGCCTTGTTGAATGGCAACATGCCATCCTTGAGGGCCTCCAATTTTCGCATCTGCTTTTCTCCCTTGTCGACATCCCGCTTTGCCCGGTTGTACATGAACAACCCTATTCCTGTAAGTCCGATCCCCAGAGCTTGTACATGATGTATAGTCTGATTGAACCAGACTATAGCGAGACAGATGACGGCAATACGCTTGATCAGAGAAGCGATCGAATATGTGACGGGTGAAGTAGAGGACAGAATGGCGAACGCAAGTAGATTTTGTGCAAAGTGAACGGTTCCGTTAAGGAAGAAGTAAAAGGCCACTGACGGCGCGATCTGTCCGGGTTTCAGCGGTTTAGCGGTATTGACTGCATTTTCCGGATGGAACCAAAGGGTCCAGATGGCTGGAAGATCCGAGTATATCCATAACGGGACCATGAACAGAAATGCCATTCCTGAAGAAAAGAATAGCAGGTTGATTTTATCGAGTTTTGGACGGGAGAGCGCCGTGGCAGTCGACAGTCCAGATTGGTCGTTGGAATGAGCCGATGACATGCGAGCCACTGCGGCAGATTCTCCCTCCCCTTTCGAAGGCATAATCTTCTTGAAGAAGATGTTTTGCGAGACGAAGACGATGGTGCTTCCGAAAGCGCAAATCAGACCGAGTGCGTTTGATATTGTCAATTCGGTGGACGATGCGAGCATAACTCCGAGTGTAAGTGGAAGCAGCGAGATGTAGGTCGCGAGCGTGTATGACACTCGAAATACCAAGGCATAAGTCATGACCGTGAAGAGTGGTGTGAGTGCCTACGATAGAGGCATCAATCAATGACCAGCTATAGACGTGAGCACTTTGATGGGCTTACCTTGATCGTATGCACAGTGCTGACTGGTATTCTGCTAATGGCCATGCTCGAGAATATATGTCCGATGACCTGGAACGCTGCCATCGGGCAGGTGTGTAGAAGGATTGCTCTCGTAGGCCTCTTTAATCTTGAGCCCGAAATGCCCGTACTGTCGATGCCGAGCGATATCGACCTCGAATGTGACGACAGCTTTGAAGATCTCCGTCCGCTCGAGGATGACCCAAAAATGCCCATCATCCGGGAGGCCATCCATTTCCATGCTGTTGCGATGCCTAGAAATTTTGACCCGTCTGTCAACAGCCAACAGTACCCAGCAACAAAGAAGAACTGGACGATTGTCAGGGTGACCGGATACCGAAAGTTGTTGAGAATGACTTTGCCCGTGTTCGATGAGAGCGCTGAAGTACCGTACCACAGTATACAGAGGAAGATGAACTTGATCGTTGACGGTGGTGGTGCGAGACTGCGAATCCAGGAACGATCTTCTGATAAACCTGATGATTGTGCCGAGTACTTGGACCCATATGACGGGAGCGCACTTCCCAGTGCTACTCCATCCATCATACCATGCCCTGGTATCGATTTGCGCCGTCTCGACGATTCGAGGCTCTCGGTTGCATTCAAAAAATGACCGTTCGCATTTTGAGGCTGCTGATGCCTACTCTGTGGACCCGTCACATTGCTTTTGGTTGGCAACATTCCGTTCATCGCGCTCGTTCGTAGTCCCTCCGTCGTGCTCGTTTGGCTGATTAGGTGGTTCGTGGTCGTCGGTTTGAGTCGGGTTTCATGCTAAACCCAAGGTGACTGATTGTGTTGTAAACGGCCAGCGCTTTTCCAATCCGGAGGCTTTAAAGTGGATCGGCTTGACGTTGACTCCCAAGAAGCGTACAATGATCACTTTTCACTTCCCGCTCTGTCATATTTACCCGGAAATCCCCATCATCCCCATCATATTACAACATTGACGAAACGTGGCCTGCGTCTGACAGCGAAGCGACAGAACAGGAAAGGAAAGGCACAAAAATAACAAATGACCGGCCGCCGAGTCGCCAAATCTGCAGTTGCCTGCAGTTACAGCCAGCAGCAGGCTGTGCAGCATGCGACGACTAACTTGCGGTTGCCACTCTTTCACCACTTTTGACTTGGCTACCTCTGCCGAATTTGTAACGACTTTATGGATGGAACGAAAGCAACGAAGAGATTCGAAGGTACCCTGAACAACCCCACGTTTGCTCGGTGCAGCAGACTGGCTAGCATGCGACGGCTACCCGAGATTGTAAACCATGGCGGGGTTTGACTTCAAAGGCGATGAAAATCTTTGTGTAAAAGTGAGTCGCCCTACATAAACGTCTGTCAGACACAAGTACGTCGGTAAGAGATCTATCCACATCTGACGGTGTATCTCTAGTGGGCTCTTATTGCATCATACGCGACTTACAAATTCATACCCAGCTACAAAATTGCGCATTGCGGGTCGCAAGACGCCAGCGATGACTACCAAGAAGACCCGGTTAAGACATTGGAGAGCAGTGAATATGTAACGTTTATTGGCTATCTGACATTTGATGTATGCCGCAACCTCTTTGAGGCACTCTTACTCCTTTTCCGGGCGCAAACACGGCCAACAGGTAAGTTACTTGCTTGGATCGTTCAATCCAAAACCCCCTGCGACTTTCGGTTTGTTGGGTTGGCGCGGCACAGAAGGAGTTGCACATAAACCGAGCTGCAAATGTTCCGGCGCACATCCAACTTTCTACTAGTATCGAGTCTCCCTGAGCCAGACTGGCAAGCGCGAAAAAAACGTCTCGACGCTGCCAATCAAACGCGGTTGCGTTTCGCACCTCCACCCCCTCGACCTCCAAACGTTTTTAACAGCCAGCGTCCAAAGGGTGTAGAAGCAAAAAAGAGAGTCCAGCCAGCTCCGGATCGAACGGCGACGGCTGTCGGTGACCATGCACTGGCGTCCAAAGTCTACCGAGCTCTTCAGCAAAAAAAAAGATCATGCTTGCCATGCCCAGGTGTCAGATGCGGACAAAAGGTCCAAAACCCAACAAATCGAACCCAAAAAGCTATCCCTCGAACCTGGATTGAACAGGTGACCGCGGCAGGTTCTAGTTAATCAACATTACAATGCCGCGCTCTTCCAACTGAGCTATCGAGGGGTGACGCTCAAAGTGTGACGTTTGCATATAGCGTCACGTATCAGAGCCCTTAATGAGGCGATGATGACTGTTCGATACCTGTCCAAGGCTAGGGGATTGCAATGCCGAGCCTCTTCCAACTGCCAACTGAGCTATGAGTAGTGAGGTATGAGGGGTCTTGGATGACGGCGTAGAAAATCAACTGAAGCCCAGTAGTATGCATGCCATCTACGCACGCGCGCTCTGCGATTGCGCTCCATCCGCGTGACCTGTTTAGTCTTCTTCAAGCCCATCGTTACGTTGGGCCAAAGGAGCTGTCAAAGGCGGAGTAGAGACTATAGGCATCGAGACTGGAAAACCCATGCTGCAGCAATCCCGACCTGGAGCCAGCGAACTGGGCAGCTTGCGTTATGCTTCTGGCAACGAACACTTCTCGGACCCTATGGTTGCACGACGGCGTCGTATGATAAAGTGTATGTAACCTGTGTGTTTTCGAAAGTGCGTGAGGGGCAAGCATGGGTAGAATCGAGAAGCAGTGAACAACATACCGCCATTTTCCCCCTAATTGACAGTGTAGGCTTTCAGCACCTCTCTCGGTAGGTCTTTTGTGTGGTAACTGTTCAACTTTACATTGTGGTCTACGCTACGGTAAATAATACGTCTCGCCATCCTCGCATCCTTCAGAATTTACGGCTCATACCAGTTCATTTTCAATGCCAGTGCATTTTCCATCTGAATCGAAACGACTAGCGCGCTACCGGGAAAACTTGTTTGCTAATATATTGGTAAAATTCTCTTGCATGATATGGTACAACGTCGTTTGATGTCAACGTCCAACGAATGAAATGCTTCTATAGCAGCCTAAGATCGGTACCACGACACACTTCTTCGGTTACGCCTAGACGATAAACAAACATCAGCGTTGGCTTGCTATCTCATCGCGAGGCTCTTGACATACCTCATCTTCCTCTGCAACTGCAACATGCTGTATAGTAAGGCTTCAGCCGTAGGAGGACAACCAGGTACGTAAACATCGACTGAGGGTAAACAAAGGAGGTGACATCAGTACGTGACATGGTGCACGACAGTAGAGCAAACATACCGGGTACAATTCGGTCGCATCCTCGGACGACAGAGTACGAGTAACTAGGAAAAAAGATATGAGCAACCTTTTTTGGAAATTCGTGCGGGCTGCCTATACTTACTGGTAGTAACCGCCACCGTTGGCACAAGAACCCATAGAAATAACCCATCGGGGGTCAGGCATCTAAGAAACAATGGAATCAATGACAGTCCGCCCACCCCATACCCAAGCAACATACCTGGTCGTACACCTTTCGCAATGCAGGTGCCATCTTGTTGGTCAATGTACCGGCGACAATCATGATATCCGATTGACGCGGAGATGCTCGGAAGACTACACCAAGTCGATCCTGATCATATCGCGCAGCAGCCATGTGCATCATTTCTACGGCACAACATGCCAAACCGACTGCGATGGGGAAGGAGACCAGAGAATGAGCGATTCATGAAATTGGTGTAAACAGGCAAGGTACTCACAAGTCATCGGCCACATTGATCCTTGTCGTGCCCAATTAACGGCCTTGTCAAACTGAGTCAGAACCCATTCTGTGCAGAAGAGCAGACCATATCAGTACTCATCTCCCATTGCGCCGGTCCTGCGGTCACTGCCACCCCTGTACGATCTAAACAGTCAGCCGCAGCTTGCCGCGAAGCTTCGAGGCACCTCCATTCCTGTTTGCCTTCACTCTGCGCGCTACCCACATCGACACTAGACACCAAAACTCACCAGCACCGTTCTGCGGAGTCTCCAAGCTCAACTGATTCGATCCCTGCATAGCCATCGCCGTCAGCGGTGTGGTTGTGGAGGGGCTGGCGTCGGAAGGTTGAAGGCTGGCGGTCGGAGTGTGCGGCTTTGCGACTGCGGTTGTAGTATGAACATTGCGGCAGCCTATCGGGGTAGAAGCAAATATTAGCCGGGAGCGCGCATTGAGCAAGATTGCAAAACATACTGAATGAAGCAATGGCAGTCCTGCGAGCGATGCCAGCGGATCGTGCTAGTCGATAGGAGCAAGAATGTATCAGTGTCTTTTTTGCTACAACGATGCCGCTGTACAACAAACAGTGGCGAGTAAACGAAAGGAAAGGCTCGAAGCTGAACTCACCCGATCGGAATCCGGGAAGAACGAGAGAAGCCATATCGACGAGCGGTATTGAGGAAGTCGAGATTGGACGTGCGGTGTGTGGACAACCGGGAACGATGCAGCCGGAGGATGCCTTGTAAGGATATGAAGATGCCTCTTCAACGACAATCGTGAGCGATCTGAGAGTCTCGCCTCGTTTTCGAGATCACCACGCCCAGCATTATCTCAGCCAATCCGCGCGAGATGATTTTGTCGGCGGCCGGTTCCAATTTAGCTTGGTCTCGAGGACGTACTGAACTGAATACCGTACGTTACCCTCTGCTTGGAACTTAGCGGGTGGATTGGACACTCCGACTATGTCTTGGTGAGTTCATGCGGAGAACTACGCGAGGCAGATGCCCTAATTCGTGCGTTATTGACACTATCCTACGATCAGGTCTAGAGACATACAACTACTAGTGTTTCCGGGCGCTGGAATATGCTTTAAGACGTGAAAACATGCTGAATACAACGTGTGTGAAAAGCTGGTCGTGTTGCGATGAAATACAAACGATGCAGAACGACCGCAGCCCAAGAGTTTTGGTTGTGACGGATATATGGCTGGCGTCCTCGCCGTTATTTGTTGTCGAGCTTGACTTGTTACAGCCGTTGTCGTACGGTGCTACGCGGCCCTCTGGCCTCCCCGTTCGTAAGGACTGGTCAGCCACGATAAGAGCTCCTTGCTGCCTGTCGAGTTGTTATCAATTGCGTCGGATTGCAATTGCATACTTGGCGCAGACCAGTCCGGTCGATGCAAGTAATTGTCGAAAAAATCTTGCACCATTTTCTTCGAGGCGAGAAGCGATGACAGAAGTGGTGGTTTGTAAACAAGGAGATGCGCACCATGCACATGGAGTAGGTCGAGGTGATGATATGAAACATCAGTTTGAAATGCAACACAAAGCTCTCGCGGGTGCTTTACTTACCTCGCATACATCGCCTGCAGGATGGTCAAAATGCTGGAGCACCCCGGTCGCAATCCGCAATACTTCGACATTTCTTCTCGATATTGATTTCGCTTCGTATCGAAGGCTGTCCAGGTAAAGAACTGGTATGGCAAATAATAACATCATCGTAAAATCGCCCATCTGACGGAAGGTAAATTTACCGATGTTAGTGGAACCGTCGCAGATCTCGAAGAACACCCACAGACTCACGAATGGCAAATACGGTATCCGAGCCATATACACTTGAAAGGCCAAGATCTGGGTGCATCGTGGTGGATTGTTTAGACTACAAAGCAAGAGAAACGATCGACGAATGGAAATACTTACGGTACTTTCAGCAGACGACACACACTCTGCTGCTATTCTGACTGCTTCCGGGTTGGCTGTAAAGGGTTGTTTTGTAACGTCTTGCCACACTAGATATGACAGCAAAGGGAGTGTCGCTAGCATCCGAATATTGTGATATAGTAAACACAGACGGAACTTAAACAACGCCATTTCCCCCTCGGGCGTGTCGAGAGCGAGAAGACTTCCGGGCGAGTCGGGATCTGGCGCCTGGAAATCGAGCATCTCTCTGGGAACGGATCGTCGCAATGTTTCGAGCTCCTCAAAGACCTCGTTGACCTTATCAATGGCGGATATTCTCGAAGCATCGCGATCGTGATTGAAATAGATGGCTTGCACGCTGTCGACAAAGTCCACTAGATCGACCACCGTGCGTAGTGCGTTGATCTTGCCCTGTCACAAGACGAGAAAATTTTGAATCAGCCTTCTGCGCCAACGAAGCGCACCTTTCACGCACGTCTTTGTCGCTTAGTGGTAGAACAGTGTCAATCTCGCCCTGGATGTTGAGACAACTTGGCCGACCTTGCCAGAGACTGATCGTTTTCTCCAAGACATAGGTCGTCCAAAATACTACCCGTAGTCCTTGGTCTTCAGACTGATGGACCCGGCAAGTAGAATCCCGGTGTAAGCCTAAACTGAGCACCAGTCGAGAAGCATGGCCGATGGCCAAATACTGTTCTATACGCGTGCAACCTGGTGAATCAGTAGAACATACATCGAGAGGACGAGAGCTCGTGCTTACCAGCAACTTGACCGTAATTTCCTAAATATATTGTATAGAGTATCCATAGTCTGATGGCATCCACACCGCCACTGTCTCGGGAGTCCAAGAGGATCTTGTGCGCGCGGTCCGCCAAGTTCGTGGATCAGGCGCGGGCAATGTCTTTCGGACAGTGTGCATCTCCGTCGCCGCCTTCAATCTGAGCGCCCAGTGCTAGTACCATTAGATTACGCGCTTGGTGCAGACTTTTTGCCGTCTGGTTGAGTTGGGGTCCTTGATCCGGTCGGTAGTCGACACCGCCCGCATATGCGACTGATATTGATCCGCGAACCTCGTCAATATCCATAACAGGGTACATTGTGTGAATAGTCACGACGTATGCCCTAAAAAAACGATGGGCCAATTGCGATGGTAGAAAGAGCGGATCAATGGGAATCGCCGTTTCATCTACCGCTGGTTTAGTACCGAAGCTTGATGAAAAGTCGAGGTCAGAGGAAAATCAGGATTACAGTTAATTTGCCGCATACGTACATCAGCTTGTCACAACCCCATCGCCAGACTGTGAAGTTTGACCTTGCATCGTCGGTATTCGACTGCGCGTTACGATTATCCTTGTTACCACCCTCGGGTGCCATGGTCATCAAGTCAGGGTCGATTTGTGGCTCGACCTGTCCGCGTGCTTTCAAAACTTGTATCAGTCTGTCCTGCAATGACAAAAAGGACGTCGGACCTGTACAAACGAGATTGTGTTGGATTAGCTCAGGTAACGACGCACCCGGTGCGATCATGAACGGATACCTACCC